ACCACCACCGCCGCCGCCGCCGCCGCCGCGTCGCGCCACGTCGTCGTCGTCCCCGACGTCGACGTCGGCGTCGCTGCAGGCTGCACGCTGCACTGTCTCTTGTCGAAATGCAGTCCGAGCGCATTTCCGCCAATTAGTCCGCCGCACATGAACGTTGTCTCTCTCCCCACCCCGACTCATATATCTCGACTGTTTTCTCCCCCCATGTAACATAAAAATATATATATATATATCTCTATCTATATCTGGATTTGTGCAAAACAAAGACTATGTCCGTCGTGTCTATGTCTCGTACACCCGAACTTTGTTCGATCCATTTCGCCCTCCGTCACTCAACGAATCAACATCAACCGTTATTGATTGATATATCTGTACAACGTGTGTGTCGCATGTTATGTGTGTATATATATGTACAGAAATTAATGGCCGTTCCGTGTCGTGCGCGGCGTTAGCTGCATGCTTTCTTGACGAAGATGATAACCTTTCCCCTACCCCTCCCCCCTCATCCTCCACATGACGCGCTCACACATCGTAGTTTCCTGTTCTCTGTCGCGCGCCCGCGTCCGCGCGATTGTACATACAGCCGGCTATAAACGGGAAATCGACATCTCGGACTGATCTCGGGTGTTAACCGATTGAAAGTTTATTTGACTAAAATAATCGACCTGTGTAATCGAGATTAATCAATTGTCATATGTATAATCGCGAATAATTTAGTCAAAATTTAATGAATAATTAAATATAATTGATAAAATTAATTATATTATTCAGTGTATAATCAATCAAATCGGTTTGACTTAACAATTAATTATATCAGTCGGCTGAATTACTCGTGATTTTATACATACGTATACATGTATATATACATATATATGACGATTGATTTTATTGACGTCGATTATTTTAGTCAACTGAAAGTTTAACCGATTAATGCCCAACAGTGATTTCGGTTAATTCGGCGCTGCGGTGTTACAGGAAGTCATCTGACGGTTGCACACAAGATGTACTTTTCTGAAGCATCGGAAAAACTTGAACTCGCCGATATTGCTGATTACGATTCCTATGAGGGAATGCAAATGTACGCTGCGTATACACAAAACTGCACATACGTGGATTGAGGTGTTCGTATACACAACTACGTATATACGTACGCATTTGTGTAAATTATCGAGGCACAATGCATACGAAAATGTTTAAACCGACTTTGGAACGCTTAAACATACGACTATGATAAGTATGCTTCGACTGCACTCGGAGAGAAAGACACGGTGATGATAACTACATAAGTGACAATTGTACGAGTTTTGTATGTAGAATAAATATATATGTATAGTCTAATAAACTATTTTGCAGTCATATTGCAACTGAAGTTGAATGTTGAGAACTAACCGTTTCTCGCAAACATTCGGCTTTAGTGGCGACAGCTACAAAATAATTAATTGATTAATTAATTAATGATACATACAAAATTCGTGTGATTGTCACCTGTAACAGTTGTCGCCACCATGCATTTTCCTCTGAACGCGTGGCATTTCTTACGTGCAAACGTCCACTGTCGCGTATCGTTTCGTCCGTGGACGTTTCTCAAAATTACATTCTCAGTCGAAAACACGAGCGATTCACTGCACTGAGGCCTGGACTATCAATAGATATCGCTTGAGCCTCTCTCGTTTCAAGTGAGATATTCGAATTTAAATTCAGTGTTGGTCGAGAGTTTTGCAGTTGAATCGCGATTACGGACACAAACGTCACATATATCATAATTCAGCTGACAAAAGAAACTTAAACCCGACTCTGAATAAGGATCAGAGTGTCTCACACGAGCCAGGTTTCAGGTGGCAACTGTTAATGCGGGTCTGCGCGGGAAGAACGTTTGGTTGGATCAACAAAATTTCCAGCGAATGAACGAAGATTTCAGTTCAAGTTACCAGAGTTCTGCTCAAGTTGACCAGAAATCTCGTTCACCCGAACAGAATATCAATTTCTCCGTTTCGTTCGTACCTACCTCACCAGAAATTCGGTTGAATCCAACCAGACTTTCTTTCCGCGTAAGGCAGACGCATGCAGGTGTCGGGGAGAAGTTAACGGTAGGAAATAATTGACCGACCGACGATCGGGAACGAAACGGTTGCGAAAACACACCGAAGTCTTCGTCGAATCATCGCCTATTTTGCAACGAAGAGAAACACGAAATAGGGTCGAGTTATATAACCTACAAACGATTACGGATTAATGGTTTGCATGCATGCACTGGTCAATTCGCAGCATTGAAACCAATATATAATTTGGGCGAGTTCGAGTTTCAATATTGCAGGAAAGCACGAACATAATATCTCCATGTTAATCCGATACAATGGGAACACGGTGATTTACGGCGAGAGGGCGGCCTCCGCTCTCCCTCTGCGCCCCCATCCTCTTTTTCCGTATTTACAGCGTGGAAAATTAAACTCGCCGGAATTATGTCGGTCACCCGTCTCGTCCCACGATTTCGCAGGTGGCAATCTGCAGTCGACAGCGGAAAACCGGCTCTTTCGCCGTACTCGGGCAACGGCCGACGGTGGTTCTGCAATTCCCTTCGAGCGAGCCGGCCGATTGGCGGATCCTGCGGAGACGCTTCTTAAAAACACATCGGCCTGATTAAACGCGTCGGATAAGAGGCGATATGTATGAAGATTGAATTTAATTAGTCAAGAGGCGGCGGTCCGCCGGCCCGGCGGTGCATTTGCATCGAGACGTCCGTCCATCCCCGATGCATTATATCGGGGGCGGCGTGAGCCACGTGCAGCTCGCGTGAATAACGGGGGAGAGCTAAGCTATGAGACAAAGTATACGTGTCGTGATGAATTATGAGGGGCTAACTTCACGAGTACGCTGAGTGTATCCGTTGTAATTTTCGCCGCGAGTTTCGCGATACACAAGCACCTGCTGCTGCTACTACTACTACTACTACTACTACTACTACTACTATTACTAAACGCTCAACCGACGCGGCGTTCGCTCGCTCGCTCGTCCACTGGAATTACATTATGGAGGTTGATCAAGGGAAGGAGGGTCAAAATGAGAGCGAGGCGACGACTAGCACAGAGAGAACGTATAGATCGACGGAGCGGTCGAATCAACGACCAACCGGAATCGCCACGAGAACGAGAAAATAAACGCGACATAAGCGGTCAAATTCTCCCCTGCAAATTGCGATTGGCAACGTCCGCAACCTCCCATCCAATTTCCTCGCTACGACCGCGCGACACAGATTTTCACATGTATTTTCGTAGAAGACGGAGAAGCCGGGAAGTATGAGAAAAAGAGAGAGCGAGGAAGATGGCAGCGCTTCTTCTCTCTTTTCGAAGATGCACAAAGTACAGCGGGTCCATTGAATTTTTATCAAGTTTATTTCACCGTCATTGCGCACGGGAATATTGGACGATAACGTCTCTACGAACAATAACATTCCGCGCCTTGCGGGAATTACACATGTCGTGCGGGAAAATGAAAACAAAACAGAGGAGAAACAAAAAGGAGAAGATATACTCTGCCAGGCCAATATACGAGAGTGTCCCGTTCGGATGATCGCGGGAAATGATCTTAAGTCGCGCCTTACGAGCGTTATCGAACTCTCACGTCGATAAGCAACGTGAGCAACGTGAACTATCGCTCATACGGACTGATCGTCAAACCGTCCACGATGGTGGTTGCAACCATCCAGAAGGATCTGTCGAGACAATGGCCTTCCTCGAGATCCCGTGGTCGACTACCGAGCGGAACATATCCTATTTGGCTCTAGATCAAAGAGCAACAGATACCTCGGCGGCGAGTGCGGGACTCAAAAGGAGCCGGAAAATCTCTTACGAGCTATTTCCACGGCGCCGTCATTTCATTTCCCACTCTCCAATCCGCTGGCGACAGGGAATCTCCTTGTCCAGGATTTCTTTTAATTACTTTAATATGATTACCACGCGATACCCGTGGGAAAGTGAAGCGGAACGTGAAATTTTTCGGTCGACTCCTTAATTAATCCGAAATTAAGGCGGAATTAGTCGAGCGCGAAATCCGCTCTCTCCCAAGCGTTTCTCAAGCTAGTATTTTATCGTTGCACGATAAGGATCGAACGGGACGGCGGTATTGATTGCGACGTTTTGTAAGGCATCCTTCCGCCGATATTTCACATTTGACGTGCCTCTAACGGGTAAATTCAACAAAGTACCGACAATCGCTCGACTTTTACTCCTTCTTCTTGTAATTTCTCGACTTCTCTTATTTGCAATCACAAGCACGATTTCAGTGTTATGTTTCCAAAGAGAAAAATCCTTTCTCCCCCGTTAATTAGCCCCTCAACTATTCATGACGAAGAATTCTCGTCATAGACGGCGAAGGAGTTAATAATAACGAGACGAAGCGAATTTTTGGAAATTTCAAAAGATCCGATTGCATATCGGAAGCTGAAGTCGACTCATTTCCGTTCTTGCGAGTTCCGCAGGTGGCACGAGGGCACACGTCGCCCGATCAAATATTCGCGACGTGAGTGGAGATAATACGGCAAGTTCCACGTGGAGCTGCGGTCTCGCGTGCACCCTCCAACGGAAACACCGCGAGTCCACAGCGAAGACGGGAACTTGTTGACCGCGAGCAATTTTCAGGGAGCAGAACGAGGAGCCAGTTTTCCGCCTGTCGGCCGCACGAATGCACTTTTGCCAGGCGCGCTGTACACACGAGGGGAAGAGATAAGACCGTCTCTCTCCCTTTCACGCGTTGCCGTTTCTCGACAGTCTAACGGATTCTCCTCCCCCTCCTCCTTTCCCTTCATCGTTGCACGCCTTGTCTATCACGCTCGTAATGCTCGGGTTTGCCGAAGCAAGCCCTCTCTTTCCCGTATGAGACGCATAGTAGACGTAGACGCGACCGGAATCCGTAGCTGCATGCGCACGTTCGGCTTCGAGTTACCTAACGGAATGCCCCCGTCGTGTAGATCCGTGCCCGTCTTAATCAAACTTTGACCTTGGTAGCTCGATCTGGTACTCAACTCAGAGGAGGGTGGTGACTTATCCGATTTCATCATGAACGGGGAATGGTACCTCATCGGTGAGTTTCACAGCGCCTCAAATTTACGACATGCCGAGCCAATCAGAATCTATCTTCTGTATTGGCGATACATATGCGTGTGCGTGCGAGTGTGCAAGTCAGAATATTAAAAGAGTGAATATGAGTGGATGTGTGTGTGTGTGTGTGTGTGTGTGTGTATTCTTGTGCGCTCGAGCGCATAGGCGCGCTATGAACGTCTCTCCAGGTGGCTAAGAATAGAATCTCCAATTGGCTCGACGCACGCGTCGATGAATAGATTCGCGCGCCCCAATTCTGCAGCGCTAATCCGGAAGTAGAACACCGAGTCAAGTAGGGATCGACGGGAATATTTTTCGTGCAATCGCAGCGGTCGAAACCGCATGTTCCGCGTGTAGAAAGCTGTCACCGCCAATAGCGAGTTACACCGTTATTAAAGGGTGATTCTGATTTAGAGATTGCCGAAAGAGATATGATTTATTTTTATTTTAAAGAAATTGGTAGAGATATCGATGTAGGGTCTTGACCGTGCTAATTATCGTTGTTTTAAGTATAAAGAGATTGCTTTGAAAAATTGAAATTTCGCCCAAATTTGTTGTGCTGAGCCTTGTGCGCCTCTAATTCGTGAACAACATTACAGTTTATGTAATAATCTGAAACGAAAGGGACAAGAAAATTTAAGAACTGTATCTGTAAATTTGCCAAAGATTAAGTCCTTTGAAAAATTCTCAAAATTAGTATTTCTCCCTAAACACTAAATAAAAAGGAAAGAAAAGGAGGAGGAACGATTTGTAACTTTAAAGTGCCGCCATTTTGTTAAATTTCAACGTGCTACATGTAACAAAGATTCATCCTTCAACAAATTGAATGCAGATCTTATATGTTCTTATTCCATTTGTTTCAGATCGTCATGCGAGCTGTTACGTTGTCTACAAGTTAGAAGCGTCCGGCGATACCGTACTTTCAGTACAAAAAACCTGAAAGATAAAATATCAAATTTTAAGAAAAAAAATTTCAATGTGTGTGGCAAATGAAACAATGGCAAACAATATAGTCAAAAACATTCTATATTAATATATTTATTCATATCTTTGAAAAAACTAGGTGAAGACCTATTTTTTCGGATGTCTAAACCAGAATCGCTTCTCGAACCCCTAACTTGCGCGATTGCGTTTACGTTAATGAACGAGGCATTGAGAACGGGCATAGGGCACAGACATTAAAGATCTTCGAATTTCACAAAGTACAGATATTAAAGATATTTCAAAGATAAAGTCTGGAAGAGATGTATAATTCTCACGCGCATGAAATTCACATCGATGCCACGTGCCGAATGATCGCGACGGATATTTTGATGAATGCCGGATGGAATAGGACGAAAGGACACGTCACGGTTATATATATTTATTTGACGACTTTGGTCTCTCTCTCTCTCTCTCTCTCTCTCTCTCTTTTGCTCACTAGAAACCCGCGGCTTAGCCCTATATTCTCGATGTTGTAAACATGTTTACGCGCGTGGACGTGCACGTTTGCGCGAATACCAGTCTTTGCGGTCGGTCCTCTCATCGATTATCACTCAATACTTCCTCGGTTTGATATCGATATTGCACTAGCGACGTATGAAATGTCAGCGACTTTTTTGCCACGTCCACACGTGACACCTTGTCTCCCGCCGAAATTGACAAATTGAAACGAATCAAAGCTCGAAACGCGAAACCTCGCGACGCGCGCGCGCACACACACACATACACACACATACACACACATACACATACATACACAGACACATACACGAACATTGGCAAACGCGAATTGGTCCATTTCGGGAGAAAGGGTCTTCATATATAACGGATCCGGCAGAGAAGAAAGAAATCAGTTTGGCGTAATTTAAATTCTCTCTCTTCCCCCCCTCTCCCTCCGTCTCTTTCTCTCCCTCCCTCTTTTACAACATTTCGCGTGGCGGCTTAATCCTCGTCTGTTCGCGGCACGCATACACAATGGTAATATACGTACGTTAATCCGTCGCAATTTGCGAATCTGTTTGCATAGCGTGCACGTTGTCGGAGGCATAGAGCGGGAATGGAATTACGCGTAGAATGCAATAATATATCGCAGGGGGCAAAGCTATTACCGGAATTTAACGATTCCATTTTCCATGAACAGTGATTACGCGGCTTTAACTTCGACAACAAAGTGCAGCCTTTTCGGTCAGCCGGCGTTTCCTGCTTATTTAGTGCTACGAGGAATCGCGCGTACATTAGTTAATTAGGCGGTCCCGCGTGCTCAATAATGCGGAGGTTCGAACTGCTACTTTCAGAAAGCCGACCATCGTGAATCGTCATAAAATATCCACGGAAGCTCCTATGAACTTACGATCGGACTCGATCACCGGGTTGGTAAGGTAAAAGTACCAATGCCTGGGCACTGATAACACACACAATGTACACGGAAAAGAAGGTTTGGTTGAATTAACTATATATCTGATCGAATATGAACGATCCAGAAATTCCGATTGAAGTAACCCGAATTCTGTTTAAGTCAACCAAAAATCCTGTTTTCTTAAACAGAATTCGGGTTACTTTAATCGGAATTTCTGGATCGTTCATATTCGACCAAATATTTGGTTAGTTCAACCAAACCTTTTTTTCCATGTAGAATAAATATATATATATATATATATATATATATATATATATAT